CCTATAAAAACCTTACTTTATAGTCAGACATTAAAAGTAAATAATATCTATAAAATTTTATTAAAGTTTAACATTGATAGCACATTAATGTAAAAAAATTCATACAAAAAGCATTATCAAATATAAAATAGTGTTTAACTTTCTTAAAGCCCAAGGGTAGCCAGATAAGTCACAAGGTCCCTCATCCCCAAGGCCACAACACGCAGGGGCAGTGAAGGCCGCAAAAAAGCCAAGACCTTAACAGGAGGCAGGGCCGCAACATCCCCTAGGCAACGCTAAGCAGAAACGGAGCAGAAGACGCCACCATGGGGCCTCAAGCCCTACAATATGCAACGAAAATTATAATTTATCTTCCACTTTCCCTTCCCTCAAAACTAAAAATCTTTTAACACAGGTACCAACCCTAAAATTTCCAGTACACCAGCACCAGCCTAAAAACCACATCCTTATCAAAAAATAAAAAACTCAAGCCAGCCTGGGAGGGACCCTATTTTATGCTGTTAACCACTAAGACTGCCGTCCACACAGCCAAGAAAAAAATAGACCCACTCTACTCAAATCAAGAAAACATCTTAGGTTACTATACTAAAATCAAGCCCTACTAAGTTAAAATTTTAAAAAGCTTAATTTTCATATACCTTCTCTATTTCTTTCCTTTCCTTATTCTGTTACTAGCTCCCTTGTTATTAATGTAACTAAATCTAACTCACCTCAAACCATTGCCTTTAATGCTTGCTCTATCACACCTTGTAAAAATATAAAAAATCAATGACAGCTAGCCTTTTCACACAAATATTTATATCCTGGCCCTCTAATTAACACAATTACCCCTAACACTTGTCGTTATAATCACCTGCAAATTTTCTGCTCCTACTGAGAGGTGAAGCCAACTGGACTTCCTGGGTTGAGTGGGGACTTGGAGAACTGTCTTACAAGAGGATTGTAAAATGCACCAATCAGCACTCTGTAGCTAGGATTATAAAATGCACCAATGAGCAGAATCCTAAAAGTAGTCAATCACAGGGAGGACTGAAAAAAGGACATTCTGATAGGACAGAAATGGAACATGGGAGGGGCCGATAAGGGAATAAAAGCTTGCCACCCCAGCCAGCAGTAGCAGTAACCTGCTCAGGTCCCCTTCCACGCTGTGGAAACTTTGTTCTTTCGCTCTTCACAATAAATCTTGCTGCTGCTCACTCTTTGAGTCCGTGCCACCCTTAAGAGGTGTAACACTCACCGTGAAGCTCCGCAACTTCATTCTTGAAGTCAGCGAGACCACAAACCCACTGGAAGGAACAAACTCCGGACACACTACAGCCTAACAACCTTGCAATAAATGGAACTACGTCCTTTAAACTACTCAAGAGCAAAGTTAAACTTCCACACACACACACACACACAAAATTATATAAATCTAAAACCCTTCATCTATTTCATTAAAAAACCTATCCCTTCTGTCAACCTTTATCAATATAACCCTGTTCTTCTATCACCACCTCCACCTTAACTAACTCTAAACCTGCCCTTAATCACTTCTGTAATATAGAAATTGACATAAATTTTTAAAAACCCTAAATATTTTTAAAATACACATTATTCCCCCATCTTCCCCTTCTTCAGCAGCCTAAGTTCTAAATCCCACACCAGTTACTCCTATATCTAATAAAAGTAGAATGTCTATTATAAAAATAAAAAATCGAAGACAGACCTTAGCCATTAAAACAATATATCAAAATACAAATGCCTAGCTAAAATAAATATTCTGTTCACACTTTAAAAACAATTATTACGCTATTACACTTGTACACATGGTACTCCAGAGGCCCAAACTATCCCCTTTCCACTTAAATGGTCTCCTCATCAACCAAATATAAACTATGTAGTAGCTCTTCTTCAAAATCCCACTGCTTAAAATAATCCATCATGCCAGGCTCTCTCTGCTATTTCCTAAAATCCAACACTCTGCACGTCAGCCCCTGAGGGCAATCCAGCTTCCACCTTTTCTAAATGCCAAATTAACTTTGTGCCTCCCATGGCAAGAAAAAAATTTAATATTCCTTAAAAGCATTTAAAAAATAATGCAAGAAGCTCAAGCTTTTCCAAAAGCTTGCCCATCAATCCATGCTTAGCCATCCCCAAACAAATATATGGTAGTACTGTAAAGGACCCTTACTAAACACTGTGCCAAATAATTGAAACAGTACTAATCCCATTAGTGGTCCTTCACTTTAGCATTTCATCAATCTAAAAAACTAAAAACAAAACACCGCAGGCCAAAAAAAATTCCTTGTAAGTCCTTTAATCCTCAAGTTTACATAAATGCCACTAAAATCCTGTAAAAAAAATTCCAAATACACTTAAAACACAAAATCAAATACCTGCAAAATTTAAATCCACATTATTCTGGTAAGTAACTATGAATAAAAAAAGTAAACTAAATAAACTATATCTGTTACAATCAGCAACAATTCATAAATTACACCAAAAATGCCATCAAAAAAATAGGCAATCAGGACCTACCAGACAAATTGCCTAAAAAAAGCTTTAAATATAATATTAGCAAAAAAAATTGTCATAATTAAAACTCAATATTGTACCTTTATTCCTAATACTGCCCCTAACAAAACTATAACAAAAGCACTACAAAAATTAACAGCACTATCCAATAAATGTGCCAAAAATTCTAAAATAAATAACCCTTTTTCTAAAATAATAAAACATCAATTCAATAAGTAAAAAAAAAAAATTTGGCCAGGCCTGGTGGTTCACGCCTGTAATCCCAGCACTTTGGGAGGCCAAGGCGGGCAGATCACGAGGTCAGGAGATTGAAACCATCCTGGCTAACACAGTGAAACCCCGTCTCTACTAAAAATACAAAAAGAAATTAGCCAGGCGTGGTGGCGGGTGCCTGTAGTCCTAGCTACCGGGGAGGCTAAGGCAGGAGAATGGCAGGAACCCAGGAGGCGGAGCTTGCAGTGAGCCAAAATCACACCACTGCACTCCAGCCTGGGCAACAGAGTGAGACTCTGTCTCAAAAAAAAAAAAAAAAATTAACTTCAATTCTCACCTTGTTCACTCTTAATAATATACTCATAAGGTATGATATTATTCCCTGCCTTCAAAGTTTTATACAAAAACTTATCTTTACCACTCTTACAAAGTTAACTCCTAACTCTCCTCCACCCTATTCAAAAAATTACTTCTCTTAAAGCAATTAAATCAAAACTGACAAATTTAAAAAAAAATTATAAGAGGGAGAATTGTAAAAAGTAAAATAGAGGTTCCTCTTCAAAGCCTTTCCTCCCCATCTAATTAAAAATAAATAGTAACTTCTCTTAGAAGCAAAATTTAAAGACCTGTGCCAGCATTCTTAAATACCTGCTAGCCATAATTTTAAAAATCAATATACTTTATATTCTTAGCTCCCACAATTTAGCCTAAATATTTGCCCTGGCATACTTATACTAGTCCAAGAAAGCGTTAAGTCATAGCCTGTTCCTCTTCCTTATTTAAAAGCATTTTTACCTTTCTCAACATTCCACACGTTACTTCCTCCTTTCTTTGCCTCCTCTCCTCTGCTTTAAAAAAATTCTAAGTTACTAACCAATGAAAACAAATACAAAATGTAAAATCCTGTTTCAGTCAATAAAAACCAGACATAGCAATAAGGTGGATGCATCAGGTTATAAATAACCCTATCTCCTTTATTCAATATACTCTCATAACAAAACTGCTAGCAAGTATACCCTTTTTATAAAAAATATAAAAATGGCCTTACTAAAACAATTAAATTTATATTCAAGTGCTATTTCTGTACAACACCAGAAAACAAACACTTCAAACAGGTTGCAGTGAGCTGAGATAATGCCACTGCACTCCAGGCTGGGTAACAAAGTGAGACTGTGTCTCAAAAACACAAGGTAAATTGAATCACAAGAAGAAGAAAAAACATGGGTAGTATGTAACCAGAAGTCCCCAGGTGATGGTAATGCATTCCCTAGGATTCACAACCTGCATTTTGGAAGTCCCAGGTGACTGGGAACTTTGCCCATGAAGCCATGAAGCTCTTTCCCTGGGCCATGCCAGGGGCTACACTTGCCGGCCCTGGCCCCACCTGCTGCCATCCTCACAGACTCCCTCCGCTAATTCTGAGCATTCCTCGGACACTCAGGAACGAGTCTGAGAGCCACCTCTGGGGAGTCTTGGCTGGCGCGGCCATCTCAGCTGGCAGGCACTGCAGGTGCAGCTGAGGCTCCATAATGCTGTGAGCTCTGGCTGTCCTCAATGTGCACCTCCCTTTTGGGTGGCCCTGCTATGGGGGGACATCAAGGCTGCCACCTTCTGCCTGAACGTCTTAGGGTTTGAGTGGCAGCATTCTTGAGCCTGCTGCTTCCCTGATCCTCAGACATGAGCCGGGGGCATGGTCAGGGAGGGTCTGGGCCACCTGGGCTGCACATTCACGTCGCATCCCCTCCAGCTCTGGATTGAAATCCAGACAGCCTTCTCACTGTTCTCTTCCATTGGGGTGTCTTCTAGAAGGCTCCTCAGATCTTCGTGGTAATGACCCCACCAGCCCATCAGATGTGCTCAGGGAACCCCTGGGTCTCTGAGGGAAATAAACACGAGAGGAACCCCTCCAGCCCCCACTGCTTCCTTGTGAAACACCCCCAGAGAGCCAACAGTCCTGCTGCCACAGGCTCTGGTGGGCTGCCTCCCCCTGCAGAGAGATTCGCCTTCACAGCGGCCAGCGCCCTTCACCTGCAGGCTCTTTCCAACTCGTCTTCCGAGACCACTCCCACGGTGGGGTAGGGGAGCTGGGACCTGTGCGTTTGCCATTGGCGGATGGCATGAGAAGTGGCCCAGGATGGCACAGCTGCCGGTGTCCATGAAGATAATATCCAGAGTGGGGAGGGCTCAGCCCCTGCATGAAGCAGTCCCCACTTTCTCCATCCTCCATGCTGTTTCAGTCAGTGACCAGCTGGCTCTGTTTTGTTTCACAGTGTGGACAACTCTGAGGACCCCGTGTATGAGAGCCTGGAAGAGTTCCACGTTTTTGTCCTAGCCCATATATTAAGAAGACCCATCGTTGTTGTGGCAGATACAATGTTAAGAGACTCAGGTGGAGAAGGTAAGTTCCTCAAGGGATGTGCTGTATTCCTGACACAGAAAGCATAGCATCCCAGCTAGAAAGCAGATAGCACAGAGCAAGGTCGAGCTCCCAGAGGCCACAGAGCTCCCATCACTCTGTGCAAAGATCTACTCAGCGTGTTTCTTTCTCCTCCCTGATGGCGGCAGGGATTGCTCTTCACCAGCTGCCCTGCCTGTCAACGGCAGGTGGCCAGGAGAAATCTGGTCGTGTGGGGACCAGGACTAAGCCCAGAGGGCCTCCTATCTCCTGTTGTGTGCCTAGGGCACAGCAGACAGTCCACGCCCCTCCAACAGCCCTGGGCCATTTCCTGGAGGCATTCAGTCACTCAGGTGCCTTCCCGCCCCTCCACAGGCTACGTGTGTGTTAAAGACTAAAAAGAAAGGAAGACAGAATGCATAGCAAGGCTATGATAGAATCAGAACTGGCAGAGAAAGAGGCAGGGGCAGTTTATGGCCTGCCCACCGAAAGCCACACTCTGTGCACAGCCCCTTCTTGAATGTTCCTCCATTCAGTCCTTGCCACAGCCTCCCAGGGTGGACACCACCCTCCCCTCTTTACAGAGATGAAACTGAAGCCCAGAGAGGCTAGGCGATGTCCCCAGGGGGATCAGCCCAGGGCAGGGAGTGCTCCAAAGCCTGTCCTCCCTCCAGTGTGCAGCTGACCAGAGCATCCCTCCAGCCCAGTTTGAATTTACACCTGTACCTTACAGAAGTCACAGGTCTTCCAGGGAGTTCTACAAATCAGGATGTGGCTCTTCATGCTAAACAGCCACCATAAAAAATCTGATGTGGCCACAATGGTTATGTAGCCAGGGAACTGGGAGGACAAAGGTCCTGCCTGGCCCACCCCCTTCCCTGTGTGGCTCAGGGACACGGGCCTGCTGAGGTCTGCAGCTCTCCGTGCAGCACCAGGACTCGCATCAGGGCCCTGCTGTGCAAGCCCAGGACTGAGCTCCCAGCACCATCAGATATCTGAGTTGCGGGGCGAGGGAAGGTCCACCCTTCCTACCATTCTACTCACAGCCCTCTTGCAGGTACCCCCACCCTGCTGCCTCTCAGTGGGACTCTCCTGTGAGCAGAAGCACAGTGATCAATTTAGACAAAGCAAGGATGGGGGAGAAACTCTAAGAGTTCATCAAAGACGTCCCTGAAATTACTGTCCCTGAATTCTGCCCAAGGAGTGCAGCAATACGCTGACTCTGGGGCCAAAAGGCAAGATGTTTCATGAGCTAAAAGCAGATGCTGCTTTAGGACAGATATTTCCGCAGTTACTCTATTTTGGTGAGGGTGTCAGACTTTTCTGCCCTCTTTTTCACGAGTAAGAAAATGAGATTGTGTCCCTGTCACTGAAGGACTCGATCCATTTGATTCTCAGTTCCCATCTGACTTACATCTTGGTCCTGGAGCTCTCTGACTGGTTCCTTCAGATTCAGTAGAAGAGGTTCTCAAAATATAGAACAAATATACACCCCCGAGAAGCGTAGATATTGTGTTGTATACAAATGCTTTACCAAACACTAGGAGAGGAAGAAGTACATCCAGAAAAATGTGGGCTTCCAGGCTGCGACTGCTCTGACCAATCTTGGGTGACAGTGTCATCCCAGCCCTGGGGCTCCTGAACACCTGTGCAGGTCTCAGGGCCACAGGAGTCCTGGGGCAGACAGATGACTCTGGAAACTCTCAGCCCCATCCCTCAGCACCGCCTCCATCCTCCCCTCCTGTCCCTCCGCTTCTCCACGGAGCCCCCTGGGGTAGTGAGGGACAGGGACGCAGGGGCCTCCCATCCCAGCTCAGGCAGCTACTCCTCACACCCTCACCCTGGTTTGTGTCCACAGCGTTCGCACCCATCCCATTCGGAGGGATCTACCTGCCCTTGGAGGTCCCTCCCAACAGATGCCACTGCTCGCCTCTGGTTCTGGCCTATGATCAAGCACATTTCTCTGCCCTCGTGTCCATGGAACAGAGAGACCAGCAGAGAGAACAAGGTATGCCTGTCTCCCCAGAGAGTGCGCGCAGGGGCCTGGGGTGGGGCAGAGCCATCAGCAGGGACCCCGTTGCACAGGGAGGGGGATTGTGGAGGCCTCTCCTAGAAGCACACCTGTGCACACTCAGCAGGGACAGGTTTTGCATAAAACTACCTTATGCATGTGTGAACGCTGTCATTGAAAATAACCGTGCGAAAGACAACATTCTCTTTAAAATACTGAACAAAGGCAACCTACCCTTAAATAGCTTTTACTGTTCTCCCTTTCACTTGTATACATATTTTATAGGAATGTAATTAGTCTTAGAGGTAAATTAAAGGGAAAAAAACTTCAAGAGCAAGTATTAATGAACTATGGCCCACCACCCATTTTTATAAATAAAGTTTTATTGGAACAGAACCACATTCATTCACGGAGGCATCGTCTGTGGCCGTTTTTGCACTACAGTGGTAGAGAGAGGAGCCGCCACTGACACCGAGGCCTGCAGCGCCTAAAATATTTACTTACTAACTAGCTCCTTATGAGAAGAGTTTGCTCACCCCTGCTCCAGGGTAAGCTTTTAACTCAAAAGGTCAACATTTCCTTTCAAAGCATTGCAGCTGAGTTTCCTCTAAGCAGCCATTTCAGTGCTGCCGATGTTGGGCCGGCCCCAAAGGCTGTGCACTGCACAATTCCAGGGCACCAGTCATTGTCTTTGCTCGGGAAATAGTGGGATTTTGTTTGGAACCATTGCTGTTTTCTCATGTTAGCTACGATGGATGTGTGACCAGCCGAGTGGAGAGGAAACTCCTTCCTGTTGTCACTCTTGTTTGTGGTATAGGCAGAGACTCACTCCCCCACGAGACAGACGGACAGGCAAGACCAACTGTTTCAGAGTCCCTGCCATTGGGTATGGTTCCAGGGAACGGGAAGTGATCTGTCCAGGCCCAACAGGGGCAGGAAGCTTAGGGGAGTCTGCTTCTGACCTTTTCCACTGAGTGTGCAGCTCGGGAAGTAAATACAGCAACAAGATTGTCCCCCTAGGACTCCCAAATGCTACTCCTTCCTTTAGACAGCAGGCAAGGAAAGGACGCAGACAAATGAACAGAACCCAGCCTCCGCCAGCCCTCCACCAGAGGTGGCACGAGCGTGTCACTTCCTGGCCTGGCGGCTGAGTTGGGAACGAGGCTGGGGCTGTGGAGCAGAAGCTGAAGGTGAGAAACGCACAGGGCATTCAAGACCCCTTCCCAAGAACAGATACAGAGCTCCCAGGAGCTGACACACGCAGCACAGAAGCAGAACCCAAGCTGCAGAAGAGAGAGGACGGGAGGCTGCAGCCAGCCATGACAGGAAGGTCACGTCATGGTTCTTTATTATTTGCAGATGTGGCGCTGGCCACAGAAGGACAGATTTGATCAGTAAGGCCTAGGAGGTCTTTCCATTGTCTCCCCGCTTTCAGTCCAGAATGCCTGCACCGCCTTCCCGGGGGTTTAGCTCTTTGTAGGGCTGACCCAGCCTCTTGGGAGACCAGAAGGGCCTTTTCAGGACCTGGGATCCAGGCCAGGGGCTGGGCCCTCTGTCCAGTCCCCAGGGAGACCCTGTGGTCACAGGAAGATGATGGTCCCAAGGCCAGCATTTCCCAGTGCCAAGCACAGGGTTCAGATACCCGGCCCCCTCCTGGCAAAAGGCACTGAGTACTCTTCCAGGCCTTCCACATCCTGCTTCTTGGTGTTTTCAAGGCACATATGAAAGCATCCTTCCTTCAAAGCATGCCCGTGGAGGCCGCTGTGGCTTGGTACCTTTCAGGAGAGCCTTGCAGAGTTGTGGGTGGTTTCACTTCTGATGACCTGGTTTCTAAAAACTGGGATCTGGTCCCAATGCACCCCTCAGAGCCACTGTGGTGTGGGCCTGTGGCTCCCTCACAGTTGAAGCAGCCCACTGGGGTCCTCCTGGGGTAGTGCGGGTCCCCGCGTCCAAGACCATCCTGTGGCCGGGCTGCACATTCACCCATAAGGTCCCCACGACCCCCTGCAGGGCAGGTGCCGTGGCCACGCTCTTTGTCATACACCCATGTGCCCCCTTACACCTTCACCTCTGCAGCCTTCCCTCTGTGCCTCGAAGGACACTGGGGGGATGGGACAGAGTCGCAGCTGTGCTCTCAGGTCACAAGACTCCTCAGCAGAGAGGGACGTGGAAATCACAGTGAGGCTGCAGCTTCCGGGATGGGACCCTGCATCCTCTGAGCGCAAAACAGGAGCAGCCACACCACAGTAGCAGGCTCAGGCCTGCTGGGCCAAGCTGGCCAGACTGCCAAGTCTCAGGGCCTGGTGGGAGGCAGGAGATGGGAGACTCCAGAACACTGAGCCCCAGGACACCACCGGCCCCCACTGTGAAGCGCAGGTGTCACCCTGTGCCATGGTGCCCTGCCCGTCCTGTAGACAGCACCCTGTGACAGAGGCTAATAGATACGGTAATCACAGGCCCCAGGAAGAGCAGACACCGCATCCTTGTGCCTGAGGAACGATGCTTTGAGAGCCTGGAAATGAGATTAAAAATGTATTTCAGGCTGAGACAAGGCTCCCTTCTTCCCATCACCCCCTTCCTCCTCCACTGTTTACATGGCCCGTCATGTCTCATCCACATGTGTCCAGCTCCTGGAGGCTTACATATCCACGAGGCATTCTTTAAACTTCTCATCTCGAGTGCCTCTCCCTCTAAGGGAAGCCCCCTCTTATAGGTGCTACTGCCGTGGCCCAGCTACTGCTGATGCCGCCACTGGCCGTCTTCAAGTTCAGGAATCCTCCCTGTTTCCCAGGCTAGGCAGGGACTTGGGGAGAGGGAAGAGCTTGAGGTGGAAGGTCAGGAGCTGGTGGGACTGGTCAGTATGGGCAACCTGAGTGGCTCAGGCTTTGCAAATCTACCTTAAGACTTTTTAGATCAAATGTATGCATTCTTTCTTGGTAGATTCCACACCTGATGGCCACCTGCTTTCTCCAGGGGAGGACATTAGTTCTTTGCTCCCTGACACCCTGAGCCCTGGGCCTTCAGCTCTTTGCAGGAAGCAGCCTCCTTGCAGCCACATGTTAAAATGGCCTCCAGGGGAGTCTGTGAAACCCAGATCTGGGCATTCTGTCAGCACCCAGCTCAGGACAGTTCGTACTGGCCACTGAGCAAGTGTGTACATTATGAAAAATCAAATCAATTAACAGGAGAAACACAGGTGCCGAATAGTTCCTGGAAACATAGAACCTAGGAAAGAACTTTGGAAATCATCCAGTGCAATAATCCCAACTCCCCCTCCTTTTATAGCAAACGTTGTCCAGTGTACTCTTCATTATCCTGAAATGAAATTCATGGATAATGTTACCCATGTTGGAATAAAGTCCATTTCATAACCCCCACATCGGGAGAAATCAAAGGAAACCAATGTAATCAAATAGTCTGCATTTCTGTAAATGCTCTCCCACAGCCATACCGCGAGACTCAACAAAGCAATCAGATCCTGGCACCCATATGTGGGGTGCCCAGTTACACAGGCAGGGGACATAGGTGTGCTGAGCATACCTTCAAATACCCCAGGAGGCTCTGTCATCCAAAATGACAGCTAACTCTTGGTAAAGTCCCAAACAAGCCAAGCGCAGCCTTGCCCGTCTCCACAGCTCCTCTTGCCTTTGCGTGGATATAGAGCCATGCAGAGCATACACTCCTGTACATGTTAGCTCTCCGCCTGGCCAGCAGGTTGCACTGGGAAGGGCTGGGTGCATACGGGTGCTGCCTAGGTCTGCACCCCACCTTCAGGCTCATATGTTTGCAGTTGCTTCCTGTGCTTAAGCGCCGTTCTAAGGTCCTTTCCAGGAATAACTATTTAACCCTTCCCATTTCCTATTCCCCACTTTACAGAGGGGGAAGTTGAGAAAGGAGGAACCATCCCCAGGAAATGGTTGCAGCCAGTGAAGGATTGGGAGGGTGGATAGCGAGGCTTCCGCAAAGACTTGGCCCAAGAGAGTGGCACTCAGAGAGCATGCATCTCCCAGAGAAGAGGCTCAGGAAGTGGTACCCCAAGTCAAAGCCTGCTTGGGATGAGAGAGCATCTCAGACCTGGTGACTCAGGAACCTTCAGGGTCGAAGAGGGTAGGGAGGGGGTTCTTTGTTTCATGGAAGGTATCAGTGCCATCTGTGGCTATTCTTTTCTTTAAAATTTATTGGCCAGGCGCGGTGACTCATGCCTGTAATCTCAGCACTTTGGGAGGTGAGGTGGGTGGATTGCCTGAGCTCAGGAGTTCAAGACCAGCCCGGGCAACACAGTGAAACCCCATCTCTACTAAAATATAAAAAATTATCTGGGTGTGGCAGCATGCGCCTGTAATCTCACCTAGTCGGGAGACTTCGACAGGAGAATCTCTTGAACCCGGGAGGTGGGGGTTGCAGTGAGCCAAGATTGCACCATTGCACTCCAACCTGGGTGACAGAGACTTCATCCCGCCCCCCAAAAAATTAATATATAAGTCCATTGTTTAAATAGTTTTTCCCTCATATATACAAACAGCCTGTGAGCCTCTGAGGCATATCCAGGGGCCACACAGAGGTCAGGGAGCCCTCAGCGTGTCCTCAGTGCCTTCCCCCAGGGGTCTCGCTTAAGGAACCCAGAGAGCAGCACGCAGGCAGCCCTGAGGGAGTCACTGGTTACAGATGGAGGGGCGATGCTGTGTGAACAGAGAGCTCCGAAACAAGGCTTACAGATGGTCACACCAAGGTTGGCCAGTCCTTTATTGGGAGCAGAGACTCAACACATTCAAAATGTGATACTTAAAAAGAAAAAAAATGTTTTTCCAAAGAGCAGCTTACCAATTTGTCTCTTGCCGCTTAGAAACAACACAGCAAGTTTATAAGTGCCTGCTAGGGATCTTGGGAGCCAAACAGAGTACTTCTACCCACCGGGCCATGGAATCAGCCTTCCGTCTGTATTTGATGCATGGTTCCTGGTTAAATCAAACGCTCACCTATGCTCTACTATTCCCCAA